AGCGCCGACCGCGGCCACAAAGCTGATTATCGAAGATCGCGTCTTTAGGAACATTCATCTTTTTTATTCCACTGACGCGACATCGAAGCTTAAGTGCTCTGCCATGTTAAGGAGAAACGCCATATCGACGGTGAAACTACCAAACCACGTATCTCGTTTGCGGTGTTTAAAAATCTACGCTCACATTTTATTTTTTTGAAGTAGACCAAATCAAGATCATTCCTTGAAATTTTCACGGAATTTTCTCCGCACGAAGAGGAAAAATCACAGAAATTTTCAAGACTGGATGTTAAGTAGTTTTTCATTTAAAAAATAAAGTATGACAGGAAGTCTGCGACGTCGCAAACCGAGATACGTGGTTTGGTAGTTTCACCGTCGATATGTGCTTTTCAACGGTACCGGATTTCCGGGATAAGATATTTAATTTTAAGACAAATTTTGAACATTATTCCTTGTGATTGCGTGGATTAAAATGCAGAAAAGATCCTGTGAAAAATTCAAGGAGAAATGCACAGTATCTCAGAGTATTTATTTCATCAGATGAGACACAGGATGTTCCTATGTTCAACGGGAGTATTTTCAGAATCGATCGTTGAGGTCCAAGCTGACTTTTGAATTTAAAACTGTTTTTTTTCTCACCTTTTCGTAAAAAATCCTATAACTTCGGTGTTACAGATCCTCCCCTAGAATTCACTGAAAATATGGCTTCGATTCTTTTTAAGTCAGAAACGTGCTCAGCGTGTTAAAGAACGTAGAATTGCCAATTTTTATGCATTTCAGCTCATAACTGTCGTCACAGCAAATAAATAAAAAACGTTTTTTAGGTCCAAACTTTGAGAGGCCGTAATCAAGGGAAAAGTTCTCCGGTAAAAATGTTTCAGAGCAATAAAGCCTTATTTTGACCCCAAAAATCTATGTCCATTTGTCGTTTTTCCATAGAGCGATATTGCAGGTTCTGTCACGTCGTCTTGTGTTATAAATAATTCTGGTCAGTGGTCGAAGATTATTCAATTGGTCAGTTGCACATGTCGCAGAGCCATAACGAAGTAGTTAGGTCAGCTAGATATAAAGAGATCCAATCAACTGTGCTAATAAAAAACGTCATTTTAGCATTCGGGTATTCCCGGATTTTGTTTCATAAAATGATTATATTACAAGGAAGCCGTGAAAATTTTTTTTGTGAAAGTTTTGGAGGCTTTTAATGAATTTATTAATTAATCAAACAAAATTAAGAAATTCAAAATTTTTGATGGGGGGAAAATTTCATCCCCGATATCAACGTAGAGTAAAACCCGCTGTCATTAGCAGAGAATCTTCATTGAACACTTGCAAGGTTATCAACCTCGCATATGTTGCAATAAACACGACGAGTATAGGATCAGGGTTCTCCAGCTACGATTAGAAATTAATTCCGAATGTTTATGTATGTCGGCCGATAATTATCTGTAGAATTAATAGATCGATTACACTTCATTAAAATACATCGGAAAAAAAATAGGTACCGCGCGGAGTTTGAGATCACAATATTTGCATTTGTTATTGGAGAAAATCGATTTGACATCAGGTCAAGTTCGACTGGACATGAGTTCGAGTCGATTGACAGTAGCTACCGATACAATTTTGGCGAATTTTTCGGGCTATGGTTTCACTAGGTTCACAATACAATTTTGAGTCTCAAAAAAGAGGGTTTTAATTCTCCCAAAAATTTAAAAAAAAAAAAAAACATAATTAAAAGAAAGGGAAAGAAAAAAATTAAACTCCACGGGAAAAGAAGGGAACCATATAGGCGAAACTGTCAGCGGAAAGACTTCTGTCGTGTTGATCCGACCACGTGGACATACTCAGAGACATTGAACTTAATTCTGGAACTAATCGAAGAACCTATACTCCACTAAAACAATGGAATATTAACGAGAGAGTGTCTATTGTATAATGAGAGGCATTTTGCACTTCAACAGTGAGACTGCGAAAACAACCAACCAAAATCGGCTAAGCTGCCTTAACTTGCGCGTGATAAGCTCTGAATGTTTTCATCCAATTTGGATAAACAAAGATTTTTAATATATTTTCCGCAGGGTTTTCTTTTAATTGATTATAAGAAACACGAGAAACAAGGGCTTGTCGTACCGCAAAGTGCAATCTTTAATCGATGCGCTGGTTTTTCTGGTGCGTACACCACTTTAAGGGATAGCAGTCTCCTACGGATCGATTCTTTTAGAAATTCTGTGCAGTTTGACTGAGGAAGTGAAAGATGTTGTCAGAAAAATGACCAATCAAGTAGGACGGGATCCCCAAGGGGACTTGATTAAGTCATATCTGAAAGCGTTGTATGGGTTGACAAGGAAAATATACAAATTTACTCATGTAGCCTCAAACGGAGACTCGAAGGGCCCCGCCCACCCATCTTTGACCCCAATTTTGAAAAATTATGGGTCGTCCCAGGAGTAATTTTAAACCTGTTCTTACTAATAAATAGATAGAATTAAAAGACTGGGCGGCGTCATGAAAAGATTCAAAGTTAGTCATGAACAGGCAAAACTACGACAGAGCAGTATACTTTTGTCCTTCCAAAGTATTACATTTCCTTATTCTTCTTCTTCCTCTCTTCCTCTCTTCCTCTCTTCCTCTCTTCCTCTCTTCCTCTCTTCCTCTCTTCCTCTCTTCCTCTCTTCCTCTCTTCCTTTCTTCCTTCCTTCCTCTCTTCCTCTCTTCCTCTCTACTTCTGCTTCTTCTTCTTCCTCTTCTTCTGCGTCATCTGCGTCTTCTTCTCCTTCCTCTTCTTCTACCTCTTCTTCATCTTCGTCTTCCTGTCTTCTTCGTCGTCGTTGTCGTCTTCGCCTTCCTCTTCTTCTTCTTCTTCTTCTTTTTCTTCTTCTGCATCTCCTTCTGCTTCTTCTTCTTCTTCTTCTGCTTCTCCTTCTTCTTCTTCTGCATCTCCTTCTTCTTCTTCTTCTAAATATCCTTCTTCTTCTTCTTCTTCTTCTTCTTCTTTTTCTTCTGCATCTCCTTCTTCTTCTTCTTCTGCATCTCCTTCTACTTCCTCCTCCTCTTCTTCTTCTTCTTTTTCTTCTTCTTCATCCTATAGTTTTATTTCCTTTATCATTTCATCGCAATTAACGCTCACTTTTCCTGCTAGAGCGCGTTGCTAAGAGCCTCGAAGACGAAAAGACGGACCGCGAACGGGGAAAGTGAGAAAAAGAAAAGCATGGACATCCTGTCCGTCGTTGCTAGTGAGATTCATACTTTCGAAGTTGCCAGGTCATACGATAAATTTTCCATGGGGTTAAATTAAGGGAAAATGCTGATTTCCAGCACTATGTCGCAACAACGCATAATTTCGCTTTTCGCGGCTGAGAAGGAAAAATTAATACCGACGACCTTGCTATTGTTCGTCTATACCACCGTGCTATGGAAAAACGCTGTATGAAACTTCAGGCATTGCCAAATTCCCTTCAACAAAATGCGAATGCATTAGGAAAGTTTTGAGTATCGTTCGTCCATTTTTCCAGAAAACTTTGTCCGCACCCTGTTAAAAATTGGCGATAGGAGCTGCGTTTCAAAATACCATAGGAGTTCTTATAGCCGACTAAAGAAGGCTATTGAAAATCATATAGCTGGCTGTAGAAAGCGGAGCAAATCATATAGCCGGGCTATACGAAGCTATGAAAAAGTATATAGTCGGGCTATAGTTCCTATCACCGGGCTTTACACTTTATCGCTATTGGCTATAAAAAGCTGTAAGAAATTGTGTAGAAATTCGTGTGCTTTGGAAATCATTAAGTTTGATACGGAACTACCTTAATATTTACAAAACACACATTATATTTCCTTTAAGACGTATTTTGTTTTCATCAATTAAAATGAGAATAGTCCATACAGAGTGTGCAAACGTTTCAAAATCATGAGTTGAAAAACGCTGACTCCGCGAGATTAAATATTAGATCCTAACACAAAGCGGAGCGGCGACGCACTGGCGCCTAAAAACCTTACAGGGATACTTCACGCATTGCGCAATGCGTGAAGTATCCCTGTTAGGTTTGTAGGCGCCAATGCGCGTTTCGCACTTTCTGCCCGCCCGCCGCGCCGCAGCGTGCTACGGCGTCTGAAGCAACTATTTCACACCAGAGGTATTGCACAGTATCATAAGAAATTGAAGGCGCTCCAACATATTAAGAATGACAGGCATCTTTCAAAAGTACGGAGCTTTCCTCGCAAAATAAATCAAGATACTACGGCACAAAAAGAGAGCGGTAGTCCAAAAACTAAGTCCTGGTATCCGTATTTAGTAACGTTTAGTATAAACTTTATCGTCTGGCTGTTGTTTAATCGCGATCGGCTATTAAAGGCTATAAAAAATTGTACAGCCGCTTACAGAAGCTATTGGAAATCTTACAGCCGGCTTTAGGTCTATGGTATTTTGGAACACAGATTCTACTGCCAATTTTTACCAGGGCAGTTTAATCTAAAATGTCTGAACATTTCAAAGGAAAATATGCTTGACTTTCCTTAAAAATACATGTTTTATCCGGAGAAATTTGGCAACTCTCGCATGCTCATACGGTGTTATTTCTTAGTACGGCCGTATAGAGTATGGAAAAAGTACTCTGCCATCGTTGTAAAACTATTGAAACCGTTTCTTGTGTAGAGATCGTAAGCTCCAACAACCTATGAGCCCTACACCTCCTTACCAATCACAACTTCCAGCGCTCATGAGTAATTCACCCTCTGACCCTTTTGAAAATGGACGATCCTATTATGTATTCCGGTTTTGTCGTCTCATAGGTCATCGTGCTTCTTGTAATTAATTCAGTATTTACTTTTGGCATCAGATTATTGGCTCCTCGCCTTCAGTAGTTTTCGCAACTCTCATCAAGCCCCGTTTGTCTAACAAGATCCCAATATCAGTCAAAAATTCAAAATAATGTTCGTGTTTTGCTCCCCTTCTTATTCTTTACATGATTTAGAGGGAGTGTAATTCATTTTAAATTTATTCTACAAAAAGTGTTGTCATCTTAATTTTATAAATAAAAGTGTCCCCAGCTTCAACGAAGGAAGAGATCGTCCACGATTAACAAAACACCTAGCTGGAACATTAGTGAATTATTTGAGGAATTCCGGATAGTATGTTAAAGTTACGTTTGTGAATGCTACATCATACACTGATGCACTGGGTGATGCCTGAGGACACCTCAATTCTCATCTTATTAGAACCTCAAGGTGCGTCAAGGAGTCAATATTCAGGTGCAAAAATATGATCAATATCTCGTGTTTTTTATGCATTTTTTAAAAAAAAAAAAAAATTCGCTTAGAAACATCATTTTGAGGCATCTTGTAACAAGCTTTTCTGATTTCAATGAGTCTCATTTGCACTACATTTTGTAGTAAGGAACCACAATTTCCGGCTTAGGTTAGGAACAGCGTATGTCTCATTAGTTTCACCATGCACATAAGTGTTTTTACGGATGAGCCAAAGATTACGGATCCTATTTACAAAACGTAGCCAATTTGTTAGAGAGTGATTTTTTTAACTTTGATTCTGACTGGCTGAGCACAAAACAATTTATACTGTAAAATGATTTTAAAAATGATCAATGCATTCGGGGTGGTTTGAATTCATTTTTGATGAGGAATCATATGAATGTGATAACATTGTTCTTACTTTGTCTGTTGGTACATTATTGTCCCACAGGCGTCCTAGCAAGTATGAAAAACAGCCTATTACCTAAGCCTTTTTCCTGCGAATCAAGTTAATACTCAGACTTATCATTAAAACGCACGGTTAGGACTTTAGCAAACTCACAGTCAGTCCGCCCAAAAACAATTTACAATACGAGATTTTTATTACAAGGAGCACCATTTGGACTCAATTTCGCAAAAGGAACTACTATACTTGTATCATTTTAGAAAAAACATATGTGTCATTAGTTTCCCTATGCAGGCAGGTGATTTTATGGATGTTCAAGTAGTAGCAGCTTCTTATTTCAAAGTGAGGTCCAGTTACCTAGCTTGTGGATCCCCCGCTTGCAAACTGTTTATATCGATGATTGGTTTTCCACCCACCCGAAATCATGAAAAGTGTATCCATTCAAATTTTAGTACGCTTTCATTTTTTCTGTCTCGCACTGGGAAAATATAGAGAATGCAGATATTAAATGATATTAACTACGGTTTTTATGTCCCTTCTTCAAGATTTTCGTCACGAAGCCATGCTTCAAAATTAACTCTAGGGCCAGCCGGTATGATCAAGTTTTCTACCATATGAAAACTAGTCAAAATTAAACCGGACAGCTTCAACGGTTTTTACTTTCTCGCTCTCCTTAAGAGAAAGTCATCCTTAAAAAAAGAGAGACAAAAATATAATTTTCACAAAATCAGCAAGCATTTTAGGGCGCTTTTAGTGAAAAAATCTACTTGAAAAAATGTATGTCCGTCCATCCGGCGCCCCGAAAATAATTTATACACCAGTATCTTATAAAATCTAGTCGTTCAAACCCATTCAAAATGGGCGTAGAATACCACATTGACGGTCTTCTAGTGCACGCCAAGTGATATTTTGATACTCTAAAATGGTTGAGAGGGGGGTGGAAGGGCTACGGGGCAAAAAGAAAACTTAACGGAATTCAAAAATTCACACCGTCAACTGTTTTGGTACGACTTTAAATTTTAAGCAAGATACTCTCAATAACAGAAGAGATACTAGCGATGCATCAAGCACCGCTAGTGTCGCCTCTAAAATTTCTTTTAAGATCGTCGGTGTAGGATCAAAATTGGAGGGGTGAGGGCCATTAGCGGAAGGCGCATATAACCTTAATTTGACTTTTGAGCATGCTGACATTATAGGCAAGTAATCTTTTAAATTGGTGGAGATGACTGTGCAACTGCTCCAAAAGTATCTGCGACACATCAATATTTTGGGGGGGGGAGGGGGGGGCTACCGGGCAAAAACAAGAAATCCATCAGATTTCCGGCTAAGTCCAAACGTAACTGGGTTCTACGTATTCACAACATAAACTCAGCCAGTGCTATGAGTCAATTGAAACCTGGAGTGTTCCCTATGCATTATATCGCCAATATTGTTTGCATACTTTTGGCTGGACTGACCTCAAAATTATGCGGGGCAGGGCTCCTATATTAGGTTAGGTCATAACCTTCAGCCACAGTATTTACAAGACATACGATCGGTCGGTCTCGTTATTCAGAGTAATCCAAAAGTCCTGCATCAGCCTTATAAACCTTAGGGTTCTTAGCCCTTTTCAGGGTTGCCCCTTTAAAATTTTGGGGATTCCCAAAATTCGTTTCCTTTAACCTCGGAGCACCCGCAAAATTTCAAGGCTTTGTCTCAATTTGTTCAAAAGCTATAGGAGTGATGCCTGACATTGCCGGTGCGGGACTTTTAGATCACTCCGTAAAATCAATTCATTCCAAAAAGACGTAGAAGATCATTTTCTTTGATACTTTTGGGCACTTAATGGTATCTCTAAATGGGAAGGGGGATGAAGAGACAAAGAGTACACAGTAACTGGACCAGTGGACCACTTCCACTGCAAGGCACATTTTTCCTGACTTTATTGCGGTTAATAAACAAAGAAATAAAAAAAAATTTAAAAAAACCAATAAAAAATAATGATAATTTGTTTTAGGGATAGCGAAGGGACGGATTCGCAATTTCGATGCTAGCATCTAAACGCAACAATTTGTGCGTGAGGGCTGTCTGTGTTGCATAACCAAAATACTAAAGGCAATTTGGGCCTGAGTTCACCACAGTCAAATATGTGTGCACATACTTGTTCATAGTATTCGAGAGCATGGCAAACGGGGTATGACTTATGATGATGATGATGATGATGATGATGATGATATCTCTTCCTTTTCAGCTCGAACTTAACACCGTTCAAAAATGGCATCTCAATCCGAGAGTTGTGAAAGTGTGATCCAGGAGTTTTACAAGGGGAAAAATGTACTCATTACGGGAGCGACAGGTTTCATGGGGAAGGTGCTGGTGGAAAAACTGGTGAGGAGCTGCCCGGAAACGAGGATAAGTTTAATACTCAGGCCGAAAAATGGCCAAAGTATCGATCAGCGGCTGGATCGATTCAAAGCTCATAAAGTAAGCTATCATAAGTACATTACAGAAGTAAGTAGCTATTAAGTAAGAGATCTTCAGCAATGGGCCCGTCGCAAACTTCAGTTGGAGCAAAAAGAAGAGTTGCTTCTTTCTAAATGAAATGGCTCGAAAATCACGATAAGCTGGAAAGACTGAAATATACTCCTAACTTTGCGTAAAATATAAGCGTTTTTTAAAGCCTCTTGCCTCGAAAACGAAACTATATGGCGCATGTGGACAAATTGTTTGAGTAGTCGTTCCATCCAACCCTTGCTCACTAGGATGCTACATATTCAACATGGCTGACGCTTCCGCGCACAAACCTCTATATAGGCAGCAACAGGGTCCTTATCAAAACGAGGAAATTATAAATATAAATACGCCAGTTGATAAAATCCTATTTGGTCACGTGTGTTTTAGCGGATTGGTGTCGGCCATGTTGAATCCTGACAGCATCGCAGCAACGAATGCAGCGCAGCATCCTGACACAGTGGTCTTGAAGCAAAAAAAAAAAAAAACGACAAAATCAGAGTATTGACTGATCTTATTTTCGAGACTTCGTAATTTTTAAGTTTTATATTAAATGCATGTTTTCTGCTGATTTTGATCCGGTTTTTTATTTATTTGTTTATCGAATTGGAGTCGATCAGTTCACGTCGATTGACTCACGTTTTTATTTTGTGTTTGATTCTTGTCGATTGAGCGCGTACCCTCTCGTTGCATGCAGACTTTCTATCATGCACTTTTTTTCAACTGAACAAGTCGCCTTCTGCTGCGTCTAAAGCAATTGTTGTTAAGATTAAGAATATGTTGTGCTTGCTGATTTTAGCTCGTTAATACTCGACTATCTGAAGGCGTTTTAAGTGCGCAAGTAGCGCAATCCGTTGGAAAACAAACAAAGTAGGGATTGATCGATTCATTTAATGTCGTTTTTTTTATTCTCGAACAGAGCGCTCTACTTCCGCACATAAAACGCCTTCAGAGAGTCAAGTGCGTAATGAGCTAAAATCAGCAAGCACAACATACTCGTAACAACAGTTGCTGCGGACGCAGCTGAAGGCGAATTAAAAACAACCGCATTATACACGTTGATAAACATTTTAGGTCTTTAATTAATATTGTAACCAATAGAGAACTGTATTTTACAGTCTTTATATGGAGGATTCTCGAAAATTTCTTTCGGCCCAAGATCACATGGAATCCCTTTAAAATTTTCTTATACAAATTGAATCTCCAGAACAATATCACCATCATGCGTGAATGAAACTGGTAAGGTCGGTTTGAGACACCCTGTATAGAGACGTGAAGTTTTTTGCCCCAAACGCAAAGTATGATATAGATCTCTCCTTTAATTTTGTTGGAAGGTTTTCGACCGCGTGCGGGAGGAGAATTTAGAGAGCCGCTTACTGAACATAGACGCTTTGGAAGGTGATCTTTTGGAGCCAGAGTTAGGATTGAACGAGCAAGACAAAAAGAGACTGGCCAAGACGCACATCGTTTTCCATTGCGCCGCCTCCGTCGAATTCAATCAGCCTATCAGAGAAGCCGTCCTCCGCAATGCTGGTGCCATCTTGGAATTCATGAAAATAGCCAAAAAAATGACCAACTTAAAGGTATTGTTACATATCAGATAATTCAACTGGAACTGCTTATCGATGGCCGAACTGCGAAACCACGTGTCTCTACTATCAGACTTCCTGTCATACTTTATTTTCCTTTGGAAAATTTTGCAACGTAATTTCTTGAAAACTTATTTTATTAATCTACTGTATTAGCAAAATATTCTGTACCAGGGGCCTGTGTCGGCTTTGCGGCCGCCGACACCGAAAAAAAAGTACACGGAAAAAATCGTAGAACAGCCATGTTCAAGTTATTTCATAGATAAATGGATTCAAAAGCAAACGGGTGCACGCGAAAGAAAGTGCATTTATCTTTAATTGCAAGGTTATGCACCTCTTTTTACGTCTTATTTTTGAACACCGTTTTTAAAAAGCTATACACACGATTTTTCTGAAAAGTTACCAAGTTTTTTTTATATATATTTTTTTAAAAAAAGCCACACTTAGTTTTTTTAGAAGTTTCGAAATTTCCGGAATGATTTAAAATAAAATCACAAAAATTTCTACGCGATATTTTCGTTTGTTCTTTCTTTTTATTAAACCACAATTAATTTTATGCGATTCAAGTTTCAAAATCGCTGCGTCGTTCAAACATCGTCCGAGTTTCTGAATCGTTGCAATTAAGATACATTTACCCTTTAATTGGGGTAAAAACCGGGTAGGGACCGTAAAAGAAATGATGCGTGGACCTAGTTTTGCGGCGATTTTAGCGTCGCGCAAGCGAGAGAGTACGCCGAGTGCGGTCGTGTGCCGAGTCATCTTCACAGTTTGATGCGCCTTCCTTCAATCCAGCTAGCGGCAATGTGCCTATTACATGCCCGTCCTGTAGTCGAATAGTTATCGCAAATAACTCTCGCGTGGTGTTTGGTGCAATGCGAGAAGTATTCAGGCAGGATTGTAGGCGCTAACATGCGTTCGGAGCCGACCGCGTTGTTTGGCGTAATGCATGGAGTATTCTTGCAGTCTTGCAGGCGCTGATATGAGTTTTTTGACGCCAACCGCAGCCTGTTTGGCGCGATTATTCGAACTCGCGTTAGGATAATCACGGCATCGAACAATGAGGCTTAAAAGGCCCATGGTGTGTCTCGACGCCGCGCCGCGCCGTATGAACACCTTAACGTCGCCTCGTTTCTCCCGATAAAATATTGGCTCTCAGAAAAGTTAGGAAAGTTCTGTATGTTCGCTTTTTTAGATTGAATGGACCTTCAAACACGGTACGGATTAAACACTCTGATACATTATTCTTCACCAGAACTCCACGTAGAACACGTTTCGCACAACGAAAACCAGTGGCGTAACGGACCTTCGCTGGGCCCCCCCGCAAAATTTTTCGAGGCCCCCCCCATGTCAATGAAATTCCAAAACTATCCCCTCTCCCGCCCCTCTCCCTCCTTCGACCCTTCCCGTTTTTAGCCCGAGACGTTTCAAATCACGGACTTGGACTTGGAATGCTTCACCCCTCACCGTCCCGGATCCCGTACCCGATTAAATGGGGCCCCTAAAGGATCAAGGATCTAAAGGGTGGCGGAGGCCCAGCCCAGGCCCAAGGATCTACAGAGGGGCCATCTAATCAAAGGGACCCCAAGGGCCTTGGGGGCCCTTTTAGATTGTTGGACCTCCCTAAATCCTAAATACGAAACGTGACAAAAAAGAGCCAATTTTTAGTAATCACTGAGTGGGCATTGGAAGGCAGGGGCCCTCCAGCAAACAAAAAGTTAGGGACAGTCCAAAGGAAGTATGAAAAACCCCGAGCTAACAATAAAAATCAGGGGAAGAGGCCCCATCTCGGTAAATAAAGGCCCAAAGTTTGAAACCAAAGCTAATAAGCATCAAAGAGAGAAAGAGAAAAAAAAATTCCGGCGGCCGAGGGCCCCCTAAGCGCCTGGGCCCCCCTGCATAGCAGGGTCTGCGGGGGCGCCCGTTACGCCACTGACGAAAACTATACTGATCTCAAGGATTTCGATCCTCTGAGCTCGACGTCGAGAGGTCAATATCCTCATCGCTTAATGGTTTTTACACCGCGAGCCTGCAATCCTGGGATCGAAGGATTGTGGAAATGTTTCTGTTTTTTGTCGCTCATTTTTTTCAATTGTTTTAATTGAGAAAGAAGCTAACTTCGTAGCTTGAAATATATGTAGAATATTCTGCCAAAGGAAAAAAAATTAAGATAGTCTTAAATGCATTACGTTTAATGTGGCAGGAAGCTTTTGCAACGTCGCAAAAGGAGATCCGTGGCTTCATACTTGGATAATTGATTATATCTCATTCAAAAATTGATCTCCAAACATTCCGTTGTATGAATATCGTTAATTTAAGTAAAATTTTGAAGTACGCTTCCTCCCTGAATCCACCATCCACGGCGATTTACATGACGACAAACGCCTTCGGCAGTTAAATCCTCAGCTGACCGAAATAAAAGCGCCCAGAAATAACGAAAAATCACGCATCTCCCGACGAAACGAACGGGATAACCGATTTTTCAAAGGGAGCAAGGGGCGAGGGACTCGCTGCGCGATCCCACGTTTTTTCGGCCATCGGGGGACCGGGACGGTCAAACCGGTACCCCGGATCAGCCCTGAGGTCCCCGTTGAATTTTGACCCGAAGGATTAGGCTTACAGGGTTATAAAATGGGATGATAAATTTTAAGCCATAAATTTGGCTTAATTTTTCTCAGAAAAATAAATTGTGAGTAGAAATTTTGGAACATCGCAATGGAGATACGTGGTTTTGCACATCGATCATTGATACATACATTCAATTTAACGATAGGAAAAATTTATAAGCGCTAAAAGGAATGGAAATCATTGACCTTTTTGCAGCCTTTTGTCGCAAAGATTCCGGCTGAAGGTACGATACTGCTAAAATGATTAATGTCTCTGAGATTAAATCCTTCTAGGATTCTCCTTCATTTGAATGAGTATGCAACTTAAACTATGTTGGAAGCGGAACAGTTGTAGTCATGCCATTTTACCAATTTTTGTATTAAACTTCCAATGAAACTTGTTCCTACTTTGTCCCGGTGTTCCGTTCTCGGTTAAACGATTTTGAACGATCGATGATAAGGAAGGGCCGGATATTCAAGTATTCGATTTCCGATTCGTCAACCGCAACTGAAGTTCCAGAATAATTTCACAGTTCTTTTCGGTTTCAGGCTTTTGTGCATGTCTCTACAGCCTACAGTAATGCGAACATTTTCAAAATAGACGAAATTGTTTACAAAAATAAGCTCGATTACAAAACACTTTTGTCGGTCGTAAAAAACGATAGCAGTCAGACCTTAGGTGCAGTGGAAAGTAAGTAAGTGAGTATGCATATCTTTACTCTCCAATAAAATATGTTCAAATCCGCATGTTTTTTTTTTTTTTTTTTTTTTTTTAAAAAATGTCACACGCTTCTGTTGTAATTTTAAAAGCTGTGGTTGGTTAAATCAGGGCAAACCAATTACAGTCACAATATACTCTGTCATGCATTGTGTCTTGCCACCTTATACAAAATTAAGCTAATTCAAATTAATGTGCGCACAATTTACGTATTTTACGATGTGACGCATTTTGTCATATCCTACTTTTGTTCGGATTGACCCTTTACTTCAACATTAACGAGATTATTTTTTTCCACACTTGTGACAGAGTGCGCAAAAAATTTCAAAAAAAATGTTTAGAAACCAAAAAATAAAAAAACATAAATAAATAAATAAATACATACATACATAAGAACATAACCTTTAAACTAGTGCTATGAGAGATTTTCGATCGATTCCTGAAATATTATGGGAATGTCAAAAATAAGAAATTTTTCCATTTAAAAGAAAATTAAACAAACATTTGAAGATTAATAATGATTTAATTTAATTAGCAACTTTTACGGATTTTGCTCATGAGGGTCAAAAGTCCATGTCGATGTACGAACTTTTGATTTGGCTATAGATAAGTTTGCCTTTTTTTATGATGATTCTTCTATGATATGTATCTCTTGACGGCAGAAACTGACCTATTGAATTGTTTTACATTTAATTTTTTCCTGTTATTTGTTGTTATTAGAGTACAGGTATCTAAGATTCTCAGGAGTAAAACATTTATCCATTTATTAACTTCTGCTTTTAGGGTGATTGAAGAATTGCCTAACACCTATGTTTTCTCGAAAGCTCTGGGTGAGCAAGTAATAGCCGACCACGAACAAATTTTGCCAGTTACTATTTTCCGTCCATCAATCGGTAAGTGCGTGCAAGTGGCCCAAACTAAAAAAGATAGCTTGTCATTCTGCAAACAGCTCAGATATGCGCCGCATATTATTCAATTACCTTCCATGATCTCATACAATCCCTTCATAGACTCCTTCTCAAATTAAAAAGTTAACATTGAAATAAAAATAATTAAGAATAAAATTTAAAATTAGAAACAACACATACGAAAAAAAGTTTGAAAGAAACAATTCTCTCTCTGTAGCACCCCTTTTTTCTCGTCAAGAGATTTTTGATCCAGGGATTGGAACGTTTTTAATTGTCGATTTATCAGTAGTAAATAATCGATTAAACAGCCGATCGAAATTTTAACCATCGTTTAATATATAATTATTAATTTTTAATTAATTTAATACACACATACATTCGAGTCGCTTCACAGCGCGCCCGGGCGCTCTGCGGCACCTAATCGCCATCCTTGCCTATCGATCCAGAGGTCATCTGGTAAATGGCATCTTGTGATTTCATCTTGAATGCCACCTATCCACGATTTTGCTGGACGTCCCCAAAACGACGCCTTTGTTAAACGACCTAATTTAATTAATTTAATAAGATTACAAATTAATAAAGTCGAATCGAAAGACTTTCGATCAATAGGAAAACTCTACAATTTGACTCTTGACGACGGATCTGCTACTTTGATTACTTTCTGATTGTTTGCTGATTATGATGGTGATTGTGCAGTGACGGCAGCGATTGCTGAGCCAGTTCCAGGGTGGGTGGACGTCATGAACGGGATCACGTGGATGATGGTCGGGGGTGCCACTGGAGTTGTCCGCGTCCTCCCTGTCGACAGTGATAAAAAGGCTAATTTCATCCCCGTTGATACCTCCATCAATGCCATGATAGCCTGCGCCTGGGATGTCTCCCGTTCAATGTAAGTCCCACAGCTTCACATGTACCTTATACCCAGTTAGAATAGATCGTATTCGATAGTGGTCAGTGTTCGAAACTCACAGGCGCCAACGCGCCAAGTGCGCCTAAAAAATCGGCCATGGCGCCTAAAAATGAAGGATCTGCGCCAACGTGGCCCCAAAAAATTGCCCCTTAAAAATCTGAATTTTCATATTAGGTGATTATTCGAAATTTTCAGTACTAAAAGTGAAGCTTTTTCTATTCTTCACGATTTCATCCTTAGTGCTTTTGTCTTCCCCAAGTTACAGCTACTTACCAGTTCTGTTACGAAAACATCTTGCATCTAACTTTTCATTAAATGCGCCGTAATATGTAGGCAAAAAGTCAATTTGGCCCCTAAAAAAGCTTCAATGGCGCCTAAAAATCGGGCTTGATGCGCCACATGGCTACTAAAACTCAAAGGTGAGTTTCGAATACTGATAGTGGTACAATGTATCGTTTGGCTCAAAGCAACAGAACATAACCTCAAACAAAAATTTTAGAATTTGTGTGGAAAAGCTGAAAATGAGAAAATCCCTGACAATTTCACTCTTCGGTGCCATTTTGACCATTTGGCCCTTGTAAAATCATTGCAAGAGGAAACAGTCATTCGTCAAGCCTAATCAAATAGCATAAAATTATTCAAAACTACTGATTGGTCCAATTGAAGGCAATCAATAGAAGGTCGGGAAGCCGGAAATGATCTAAGTCATAAAACCCACACACGTGTTTTTACGCCAACCATCGATTAATAATGTTTCTTGAGAGGCAGAATACGCCTTACATTAAATCATAGGCCACGCCACACTATCCACGTGTGATTTGAATTGCATACCTAAATGGCTGAAGGCGTGTCATACTCTAAATACTTTTGAACTTGTCACGGTATACAGAATACTTTGCCGTTTATTATTTGTCCGCTCGCACCGCTCCTATGTTTTTACATAGAAAAAAGCTCTTCCCTCATGATATCATTTTAGGATAATACATTTCGCTTATTTTCGCGGTAGGTCAGTTGCACTTATCACAAAATAGACCTCTTTTAAAATGTATAATAAATGGATTGCATTTTGCAAGAAGGAACCGCTAGCATTGCAATGATGCTAAGATTGTGCAACTTCATCCTTTGCAATAAAATTGCTGAAATCGTGAAAAACTATGAAATGTAGATGGTAATTTTTGTCTTAAATTCACAGTTTTTAGCGAGTAAAATAGAAACTATTGATGGATAATCGGGTTTTTCCTCCAAGACAAAAGAAGTTGCACAATCATACCAACATTGCAATGCTATTGGTTCCTTTTTGCAAAATGCAATCCAAATAGTGATCCACGTAACAGAAAGATTAAACGATCGAATAAAACAAAGAGGAGGTGTAACTAACAAAAATAGTCAATACATCGCAAAATTGTATCTATTCAAGCAGAAAATCGAATTGGCCAATAAATCAAGGCTGAAAAAATCGATTCGATTTTATACATTATCTGGTTAAAATAATCAATTTTTTGGTGGATTCGATTGGAAATCCGCCTCCTGGCTAAAGAGTAAATACGTTTCAATGCATTTCTATGATTTACAGTGATCGAGGATTTGGTAGGAGGCTCGTTTACAACTGTGCCGTGGATCGGACTTCGGAGGCTAGTTATGGCGACGTCATGCACTCAGCGGAAGAGTATTACAATTTCCCTTTCCTGGAGACGTTTTGGTACCCCAACGGGATGTTTATCAAGAATAAGACACTCTGTTTCTTCTACAGTATATTCGTTCACTTAATTCCAGCCCTACTCGCCGATGCCGTGGCACTGTCGTTGAAGAAAGAGCCCAGGTGGGTAACCGTTGTAATCAGAGTATTACGCAAACCTCTTATCGGGGGAAAGGGTCAGAGCTTGCCTTAGCCTTACCGGGTCTATAGAAAGGTAGGAGGGTGCTCAACTTTGAGCTAACGTCCAAGTTTAAAAAACAAATATTGACAATATTTTTCACCCAAAAAAAAAAAAAAAAAAAAAAAAAAAAAAAAAAAAAAAAAATTATATTTAGCCACCTTACATTCATCTGTTGAAGATCGTAACCGAAAAAAAAGGGCTTCCGTTTTTCGGCCCAAGTTGATGATAATAATTCCTCTGAAAACTTTTCGCCATTCTCTGAGAAATCCTCTTCCAAGGACAATCTCATTTAAAATTACTTATCTTCTGAGGTTTTGTGCAAAACCAGTAGAAAAATATATTCTTTCTAATTTCCGATTGATTCCTGAAAACCGTTTTGCAGGCTCTTGGCTATACAGAGGAAAATTTATTTCGGCGTAACAGTATTCGAATACTTCCTACGTCATGAGTGGAAATTTAATAATCAAAACCTGCATTGTCTCTGGGATGAACTGGGGGCTGCTGATAAGCAGCTTTTCAACTTTGATCTCAACCAACTGGTCGACTTTCGGACATACTTGCGAATTTGGATATCAGGGGGACGAAAGTACGTCATGAAACTAACTGAGGACAGCATCCCGGCTGCCAAGAAAAGACTCATGCGGTAAGAAATCAGCCACTCTTAGATCCTCAAGAAAGCCAATGGGTCTTTCCAGTACCGTATAGGAGTTTTTGCCCCCCCCCCTCCCATTTCAATAAAATTCTAAACGAACTCCCCATCCCCTCACCCCTCCCCTCTATTTTCGAAGCCCTACTCACAAGACTTTTCGAAAAAATTGCGCTTTATGTAGCTTGCATGTATAAACACGAAATGATCTCAGCCTATTTTTACGTTTTGTAATCATTGAATTAGTTAGATATTTGAAATAAAACATAAAAATAGTTACCAGAGCTCACCATGCGGAGGTACCTGAACATCCAAATTCAAACCCGGGCCCAGGATTGATAGACTGAAAGAGTCCCCAAGGCTCCAAGTAAAATTGAACAGATAAACTTTGGAAATAGATCATTGGCAGGGTAACAATATATTATGCTATACTGAAAAAAGTGAAAAATACGGGGGAAATTTTATATTACTCTCACAAAATTTAAGCTAGGCTGAAACCAACTTCAAAATTTTCAAAGCTTACAAAAATTTCTCTTTTGTATTATTAAATGTTTATAGAGGTAAATCAATCCTTTGCAAAGGTCTGTTTCAAAAGTTATAATGTCGAAAGTCACCAGAGATTTGTCAATCTTTTTCATGACAGCCCACGTACAAAATAGAGGCTTCAAAGATGTTCATCGATGCCTTTCCCGGCTCTCCCATTGGCCACCCTGGTAAAAATTGGCAGTAGAATCTGTGTTCCAAAATACCATAGACCTACAGCCGGCTGTAAGATTTCCAATAGCTTCTACATATAGCCGACTACACAATTTCTTATAGCCTTTTATAGCCGATGGCGATTAAGCAACAGCCAGGCGATAAAGTGTATGCTAAACGTTACTAATTACGGATGCCAGGACTTAGTGAGTTTTTGGACTACTCTTCTCTTTTTGGGCCGTAGTATCTTGATTTATTTTGCGAGGAAAGCTCAGTACATTTGATGGATGCCAGCCATTCCTAATATATTAGAGCGCCTTCAGTTTCGTATGATACTGTGCAATACCTCTGGTGTGAAATAGTTGCTTCAAGCGCCGTGGCACGCTGCGGCGCGGCAGGCGGGCAGCCAGCGCGAAACGCGCATCGGCGCCTACAAACCTAACAGGGATACTTCACGCGTTACGCAATGCGTGAAGTATCCCTGTTAGGTTTGTAGGCGCCAGTGCGTCGCCGCTCCGCTTTGTGTTAGGCTCTAATATTTAATCTGGCGGAGTCAGCGTTATACAACTCATGATTTTGAAATGTTTGCACATCCTGTATGGATTATTCTCATTTTAATTGGTGGAAAAAAATATGTATTAAAGGAAAATATAATGTGTGTTTTGTAAGCATTGAGGTGGTTCCGTGTCAAACTTAATGATTTTCAAAGCACACGAATTTCTACACAATTTCTGATAGCCTTTTATAATCAATGGCGAAAAAGCAACAGCCAGGCGATAAAGTGTAAAGCCCGGCGATAGGAACTATAGCCCGGCTGCATAATTTTTTATCGCTTCGTATAGCGCCCGGCCGTATGATTTTCTCCGCATTCTACAGCCAGCTTTATGCTTTTCTGTAGCCTTTTTTAGCCGGCTATAAGAATTCCTATGGTATTTTGAAACGCAGCTCTTATCGCCAATTTTTACCAGGGCAGCTGTGCAAGTCGGGGTAATCGATGAGTCTCTTCGAAGCTTTAGTTTGTTCGCGAGCCAGACGCTTATGTTAAAGATATCCTTGGACGACAAGGGGGCTCCCTAAAGAGAGGAGCGTCTAAGGAACGACAATGAAAACTATCCAAAATATTTTTAGACCTGGCCCCAGCTGGCTGATTATTGAATCGATACAACAAGAAGATGCCAAGAAAATGGAGCGACCGTATTGGTGGAATAGAGTGGTTGCTAAATACTATCAAAGGGGTAAAGTAATGGACCATCTTTAGAATCTCTCTTGGAGTGTCATTAGTTAGCCTATTTCTCACCTTCTTTGTCCATTACACCCGCCCGCCTCCACCAATAGGATCGAGCTATTTCCCTTTTGTCTTCTTTGCCTATCGCTTTGTCTATCGATTTCAATAATCAGGCCGGAGTAGTTCCTTGTAATAAGTGTTTCATTAATCAATGCAAAACTGTTAAAAAAGTGTGTAATATTTTGATTTCAGGCTTTATTACTTAGACTGGGTGGCGAAATCAATAGGAGCTTGCGTACTTTTATTCTTCACGCTAGCGTTTGTCAAGATGCCGGACAGTTGGCTTCCATCTCGGATCGTGGATAATTTCCACGAATTTGAGTATTTCTTCCTTCCTGAAATGAGAAATGTCACCATGTTTTGGGGCAGGACGGCATAAAAAAAAGTTCATACAACGCTACAAGAATTTCGTGTGTTACCAAAAAAGTGCAAAGAACTCAGCACGCCATAGTAGTTGGAACGAATGTAAATAATAAAGTGATTATTTTGAAATGTAGAAAACTTGTTAGAAAGAATAAAATTTTAGAGTTTCTTGATGAGTTCCCGGATGATTGTTGCGGGTTGCTTACGCAGCCCCTAAAAAATCATTGAAATTTCATGGAAAAAGGAATTTCACTTTACAGCAAAATGAAATTTCGTTCTTTCATAAAATTTCAGGAATCTCTGGTCGAACTTGCAGCGACCCGTAGCGACGGTCCATGGCCGTTGCCAATATTCAGGAAAAACGACGATTTTCCCGAAACAGTGAAGGTGGCTCCTTCAGGGGGTACTTTTGGTAGAAACCTGATAGAAGAAAAATGTCTCATTTTTACCCATAGAACGCGATCCTGCAGTCTTTAACCTTAGGTGACCCTGTATTGTCTCTGTATTTGACCCAGCGACGGTGTCCTCCTGGAGGTCAAGTCAAGAACTTTGCTCCCAGAGCTGACTTGAAGTTGTATGCACACTTTTAAGATGAACTTTGCCGTTGGTATAGAACTATTTCTCTCAAGGCTCACCTAAGTATAAAAAGAGGCCCTTACCCGGGCCTCAGTAGGGCCTTAGTAAGGTGGCGTAGGTTTTGCACCGCGGTTTACGGTGGAAAAATGCAAAAAAGGAGACGTAGGGCGCGACCATAAGTGGTCAGCGGGCAGCCCGGGCAGTGGGCGATGACACTCGACGGATTTCTGGGAAATTTCGGCTGAGTTATTCGGGCACCGTTTGAAGCTGGACGCACCGACCGCTGGCCGGCGCTGGCCTCAACCCACGTGTCAAAACAGCCGATCTGCCCGAGGCACTTACGGGAGTTACGCGCTTCTCCATCAGCGGTCTCCACCCTGATCGGCTGAAAAAGCCCGGGCGACCTGCGGATCGATTGTTGAAATATCGAAAATATCGAATGACCTTGATCGATAGATCCCTATCTTGGAAATGCTATCTATCGATCGAAGCGATGCGATAGCGATTTAACAATCGAACTGATGCCCATCGTTCCCAGCCTCATCCTGTGCATAATTTTAAATTCGAATTCATCTCGAACCAACGAGGAAATTACTCCTTTGGCCTCAACCTCTCCGCGTGACGTGTGTAGCCGTAAATATTCGAAATTTTTAACCGAGCGGTCGGTGTCAAATAAAAAAATAAATAAAATGAATATAAAATTTTGCAAAAAGAAGCGACAGGCTTCAATACCGTAGTGTTATAGAGCTCGCATTTTAAGCAAGTGGTGTGGAAAGTGCACTTGAACTGAATGCTACCGTGTTAAAGGGAAAAGCCGTAAGAATATTTCTAGAGTTGCCAATTTTCCTCTGATAAAATTTTTATTTTTAAGGTGAATTATAAAATACATTTTCTCTTGAAATGATCAGATTATTCAGATCTCATCGCGAATTAAATTCTCTGTATTTTTTTCTCTTTTTTTTAACAAATTTTATTGATACGTATGGTGACTACTTTAAGGACTTCGTGCCTTGTATCTACCTAACAAAATATCAAATATTTCGCTCTTTCAGCGCTTCTGTGCGCTTATCTTATCGTTGTTTCAGCAATCGCTCGCGCAAGTCGGTACCTCCAATTCTCTCCGTATGGTATGAAAAATGAAGGAAAAATATTCACAGATTTCCCTGAAAATTCGTATTTTATCAAAGGAAATTTGGCAACGTTTGGCGGGTCATACGGCGTTTTCCCCTAGCAGGACAAAATAATTCTGTTGCAAACTTTTCCTCGAACGAAAAGGAGCTGTGTTTCATACGGAAAAATGACTGGACAATCATACAGGCTAATTATTTCCATGGAAAAAAAGAGAAAATACAAAGATTCCTAGGAGCTAAGCTCCTGTGAGGCTTTCAAATGGTCCAGTTGCAAATCTTGCTAAAATTGCGTAATTTCAGCAGCATTGTGAAGCTTACATGAACTTGCTGCAGATAAATCTTCAATCTCAAGAAAACATATTCGGAAAACGACGATTCTGTGAGCAATGCAACTTGCCCATGTAAGGGTTAAGAGTTCCTGGAAGGAAGGGAGGGTTTAGACCGCGGTGCTGTCATTTCGCTCATAATTTGACCCTGTTTTCACAAAACGGTTTGAATAAGAACCTGAACGGTGGACAACTTTTCGGACAGACTATGGCAACTCTGCGAGATTGTTTAAGTTGAACGAGAAAAACGAATTTCGACCATTGACATTTTACTGGCATTTCTGGCAGAGCAAATTTCTCACAAATCACACGCATTTTATTGATGAAAGAAAATGTAGGTCTAGTCTGCGGCTCGCCCGCGGATTTAAGCTAGGGCGAGATCAGCAGTCTGATCATTAAAATTTATAGAGAAAGCAGACAAAAGGAGATAAAGGAAAAAAGGAGCCATTTAACTATTGGTCGAAACGGGTAGTTGCAATAGACAAAGGAGGAAAGTTATCGACTGAATAATGGTAACCCACAAGAGACCTTTACGCTGGAAAAAAAGTATCTTTAATCCAGGGCCCGGACTCTTAATAAATTTGACTAGAAGAACATACTCTTGATTCACGCGGATTTTTGCTTGAATAGAGAGCCCTACCTTTTAATTTAAGCGGATTCAAATTTGATGAAAGCAAAAATGCGATTGAATAAGGAGTATTTTTTCTCGTCAATTTTCTTAAGAGTCTGAAGTCTGCATCCAAGAGACTTTTTTCCGGTGTATAGTTAGCCCCCCCCCCNTCATCCTCCCCCCCAGTCTATATAAAAACCGCCCCCGCTTCCACAAATAGCATCGCTCCATTTTCCCTATGCCCTCATTATCCATCTCATCGGCTATCATTTCCAGCAACATATTTAAATTAGATCAGTTTAATTTTCAAGGAGAACCAATTTCGAAGATTTTGGCGTTCCTGTTCCCTGCGGTAACATGGCAAAATAGGTCAGGTCACGATTTACTATTATTATGACGTGATTAATCACGATCGCGTTATGATAAAAATCCAAAATTCCTCGAAAAGGCGGCAATGATAATCACTTACAGCGTTGCCGTCTGGGGTAAAACATTGGTATTTTCCTCTCGAAAACGAAGTGTACTGCCGTGCAAAGGAAGAACGCCGTATGAGCCTTCAGGCGTTGCCAAGTTTCATTCCATAAAAACCGAATTTACTGAGAAAATTTTGAATATTTATTTCCAACATTTTCAGACAATTTTGTACGCAATTTACTCTAAATATCTGAAAATTTCAAAGAAGAATGTGCATAAATTTCTTCAAAAATACATGTTTTATCGAAGGAAATTTGGCAACTCTCGAATGTTCATACGGCGTTCTTCCTTAGCACGGCAGTGTAGTGGACAAGTTTTTGTTGAAAATTTGGCAAGAGAGGTGGCAGAAGGAGGAAGGAGGTTCCCGGCGGGCGACCACACACCTCCGGCCAGTCCGGCCACGACCGGTTGACCTTTCCATCAATGCGCAGAATCCAATAGCAAATCAAACACGAGTTTGTCCAAATACGCGGCCAAATTGCCAACAACACCAAGTCGCTCCTGCGCACCCAGAGACAATGTACATATTTTCGAGATACAGCTCCAAAAATTTACGCGAAGTAAGCGGGTGAGGCAAAAGTTACGTTCGGGGCGCAACTCTACTTTTCGCCTACTGATGAACAACTCGTTGAGCTTAAATTCAAATAAATTTTGCCAGATAATGAGTCTGATGAAATCCGGGGTTAGCACTTAGTAAGCGAGTTTTTGCAAATTCGGCTACAAGATTTTTAAACCAGTTGGTCAACTCTTTGGCCATAAGTCATCATTGCATGAATCTGAGCTTGTTGACCTCCGAGAGTGACTTTTAGGGGAGATAGCAGTAACGTGGGGTCTCTAAAATGTACCGAATTTATCAGAAAGGAACCAATCCACAGTTTTGGACAAATTGAGTTACGAATGTTTTTGAGTTCCACTAGTCGTTTAGTTTTTCTTAGCAAAATCTGAAAGTCTAAAAAAAGAAATTAGTTCGTGAAAAGAAAGCTTTAAGTTTATTATCTATATTGAGCCTTAGGCAGGATTAAAATTCAAACCTCTTTTTCTCAGTTTCAACCTAATGTGAATTGGTTCCTTCTGATGAACTCCGTCCAAATATCATCGCCCTTCTGATGTAAGGGCGTATCTCAATTTCCATTTGAGGTCTCTTTTACGTTTAAATCCATGCTTTCTGAGGCTCATTCCGGAATCTAGATACGCCCTTACGCCACGGAGGCGACGATATACCGTCTCTGATCGGACCATCACATCACTCACGTTCAAAACACACACGCGATGGGCAAATGCAGAGCCTTTTTACGGAGGAAAGAAGTATTCGATAACATTCTCAAAATCAATTTTTGGAAAAATTAATGATCCCGGTAAAACAGCAAAATTTTCCGACTTGCAAAATACGAGGACGGTCAGAATCGGAGAGCAGAAACTGTGGAAAAATTGACTGTCAATTTGGACAGAACAGACGTAAGTTAAAATCATCACGCGAGAAAGCTGCTCATTAAGTTGCTTATCATCATCATTTGGCGGAAAATAGCTAGCGTTGATCCCGAATTTAACTTTTGCCTCATTGCCTGATTCGCATTTTTTTGCCTTATGCTTAAATTATCAACGTTACGGGCCGATATATGTATCTTGCAAAATTCAGTATCAACGGATATAATGTTTAACTTGCTGACCTCCGAATTTAACTTTGCTTCAAAATCTGATTATACTGTTTGGATTGTTAGCAGTAGCGCGGCGTCCATGTAAACATGTGAAAAACTGCTTCCTCTATCTTCTCTCTATAGATAATGTAAAGGTAATTATTTTCCAAGTGCTTAGTAATAGTAGCGAACAATTAGTAATAGTTTTCTCTGCCGGCCCAATATGCGACGATGAAATTAGATTTAGGTGTAAGAGAAACGAGCAGACCACCCTCACTTAGAATCGCTATCGCATGTGATGAACATTAAACGAATTTCGATATAACGCCTTGATGCAACTATTCGGCCCCCACGGTTGTCCGTATTCCATACGCACGGGATTGAAGGC